TATCCGGTTTCAGAAAAGTATGATGTTGTGGAATGATTTTGCTCATTGTTCTGATATTGTCGATCATTTCGATGTATGCATGCAGGAATAATTTATATTATTCATTGAGCAGTTTTGTTAAGGTTGTTCTTAAGTATCTTATTGCTAGAAAGCGATTTACTTATCAGAGCGATTCGAATACTTACAATTAGAAATTGAATATGTTGAATGTCTCAATTGTATCAATCCTCCTTTCAAATGTATTTCTTCTTGATTCAAACTGAGCATAATGCCAATGAACAGTATCTTATAAAAGCAATCAGATATCATTACTTGGAATAGACCATGTCCTCATGCTTTAGTTTCCAGCCAGTGTAAAAGTTCCAAATCCAGTGCTCCTTTTGATGATACAATTTCAAATCGCTGATCAAAGATCAAAACTGTTTACACCGATATGTTCTCAATACAACGGAATTTCGCAATAAGTTTCTGAATGCACCATATCAAAAAACGTCAAGAACCAACAAACCAACATTTCAGAAGCGTTCTAGGAATGTTTCAAATAGTTGATCAGAGATCAAAGCTGTTCACACTGATACGTTCTCAATACAACGGAATTTNAAGTTTCTGAATGCACCATATCAAAAAACGTCAAGCGATGTTCCATGCTTACAATGCTTTAAACACGCACATGTACACCTACGCACGCTCCCATCCGAGGCATGATACTCAAGATTCTCGAAACTTCTGCATCTCTACTTTCTCGAATATTCCCATGCCATTTTCCTTCTCACTAGTCTTCGCAATGCTATTTTGACAGTTCTCAGCTTTATGACGAAAGCAAACACCCCACCTGTCCATTGATTTTTAGCTCGTCTAACTCCACCAAAATGGCTTAAACTACTTTCAATTCAGTTACAAGGATTCTGTGGCTGTTTTTGGGTGAGTAGGTTGTGGGTGGGTTCAATAGGGTAATATAATATGACGTTTAATGCATGCGAGCCTAAAGTTGAGATTCTTCTCGTTGTTGAAATAGCAGTTGTTAAAATTTTGAAAGAGCTATGGTAGAATGTCTTCCTGTGTACGATAGCAAAGGCTTGTTTTCTGTATGTTAGGCTGTACCCCATTTCTCGTTGTCCTACGCTGTAGGATTACTTACTCTCTACGATAATATGGAAGCAGAATTCGAAAGTTTGTACGTATCTACAGAAGATTGTAATGGCTCAACCACAGAAAATTTGCCACAGGAATGTAATGCTTCTACCACAAAATGCTTGCACCACAGAAAATCCTACGTATCTACGACACAGCAGTAACGACGTGAATATTAGCTTGATTCTCCAATTGAAGTTTCACGAAGAGTTGTTCTGATTTGATTGATTGCGTATGCGTTGAACCCCTTCCTCGACTACTTTAATGCATGAAATGTAAAACCTTGCCTCGCAACCTCGGTTGAGAATCCCTGCGGCGAACGACGAGATGCAACTCATCTTTGTAACTGGGAGCGTTTCTTTAGAAGGAAGTTTCGTCGGAAACAGTCGTCATTTATTGATGTTTTTTAGCGAAGTTTGTTCTCTCTTTTGGTCAGTCCTGAACATATTCCCATTCTCCTTATCATCGGTATTGATCAATGCGTACAATACCATAGCAATACTGGGGTTACCATCTTCAAACCAACCATCTATTCAGGTTTGCCAACTAACATGGTAATTTCTTCACATCATTATATTCCCCAGATTCTCTACTTTCAGAAATGTATATATGTTGTCGAGCGATTTTGCTTACTTGAGGAGATACAGCTGATTTTCTGAAGCTATCTCAGGTAGCTCGGTGGCGCTCCTTCCAATACGTTGTATCACTACTGATCAATGTGTACATTACTATAGAGGAATTAGGGTGACCATCTTCAAACTAACCGTCTCCTCAGGTTTGCCCACTAACATGGTAATTTCTTCACATCATTATATTCCCCAGATTCTCCACTTTCAGAAATGTATATATGTTGTCGTGCGATTTTGCTCGCTCAAAGAAATATTGATGATTTTCTTAAGCTATCTCAGGTATGTGAGCCGCTCATTCCTATTATGTACGTTGATGAATGTACACGAGGAATTAGCTATTTCGGGATGACCATTCTCAATCCCGCTCTACTCTGAGGTTCACATGTGAGCATGTCATGTCCTCTCTACCCTCAGATTCTTCGTATTCTCCGGTTTCAGAGAAATATACATGCTGTGGGGCGAGATTGCTCACTGTTCAGATGTTGTTGATCTATTCGATGTATGCATGCAGGGATACTTTATGTTATTCATTTAGCAGTTTTGTCAATGTAGTCCTTGTGATGTCCTCGGCTAACGGCGCTAGATTTTCCTTCAGAAAGAAACAAAATAAGAAAAAGATAGACACAAAAATGAGAAACTGAAACAAATTTTATTTACATAATCCCATTTAGAATCGAACAGACATTCTTTTCACAAATACATATTTACAAAATTATTCAGTCAAACATAAAAATATATTTCAATGGAACATATTAATCATCAATTTAGAACGATCAAAAATGTTCACCATATCACAATTTGCAAACTTCAAATACGTACAACACAGGTGGGCATTCCAATAGAACACACAGTAAACAAAGGTGGAAAATGTTTCCTTTCCAGAAAACGAACTGTGCTTTTGCTCAAACATTGGATCAGTACCGCTCAAAATTTCTCATAAATTACACGAAACATTTCGTAACATTTCATTAAAATTTCACAAATTATTCTTCACTCCACAGAAATCAATCCGATTTTAAAAGATCATTCCGTTCAAACAAATACTATAACTTCAGTCAGAGAAAATCTAATTGTAAGACAATCCAATCCTATTCAACTGCTTCATAATTTTCGTGAACATTGCCATTTTTTTAAAGGAAAGTTCTGATTCAAAATTTGATTACGCCCGGAAAAAATTGAAAAGTTAAAATTGAGTACTCCAAAACTCTTGCTCGTCACCCAAGTCCAAGAAATAATCGAAGCCCTCACGAGTGCACATACCATCCGATGTGAACATGAAACGATGGTATGTGCCATCCGTACAAATCGCTATCACTGACTGCAAATTTATAAATCATTACTAAATTTAATCAAATAATAAGATAATTAGTAATCATAATAATAGCAAATAATTATATTCACGACAACAATAAATATAATAGTATCAACGAATAATATGAAATATAATTTAAAGAAAACACCAAAAATGTAATGCACCTGTTTTTTCAACACAGTGCCAGGTGCATGCCCTCCAATACGTGTTTGATTTGCAGATGATACGAATGCTACCTCAGCTACCTGGTCGCTGTTCGGCAGTGAGAATTGCGCACAACTTCGTCTTGCTTCATCTTTGATTAAACCAACTTGTTGAAGGCTTCAATTCCAATAANATAATAATATTATTATTATTATCATATTTGATATTATTATGTTCACTATCACAAAAGTACTCATTAACAATATTTGCCAATAGACCAATAATTCAAAAACTTACATTGTCCTCTTCGAACTCCATTTATCATCGCCCTGGTCACGTACCGTAAATATATGAATGGTTCCTTTATCACTTGAAACGGCCAAAAACGAGGAGCACGGAGAAAAGCGCAAACTGTAATCAATTTCTCTACTTTCATTAATATTGTTGTTCATCAACTGCCATAATACTGCTGTAATAACGAAATCAACAAAAAAAAAAAAAA